TGAATAAGCACCCGGGCTCTTATTTAAAATTTAAGCTTAAAGGGGGAGGGGGGGTCGCTTACTAAGAAACTATTCTAGCTGAAGCTCATAAAGTTATATGTAAAGTGGAAATAAAAAATATAGGTTTTCCTCGTATCCAAACTTTTTGAAAAAGCGAGAAAAAAGGAGGGGGACGCTTGTTTGATATTATGGGGGTGGTGCCTATTGAGGGAGGGGGCTTATTAGGGTGTGGGTGGTTCCTCGAGGAAATATGGTGTTACATATATCTAAAAGTATTTTCAATTGACTGTGAAAATTTAATATGAAATCACTTTTTTCCTTTGATCAGCAGAAAACTAAACTCAATTTCAATTTTTATACGACCAGTTAGGCCCATTATTGGCTTTTCCGCCCTTTGGGCCGACTGAATTTCCTCTGCCATTGACGCTGGTTGTAAATTATCCCAAAAAATAAGGGTTCGGTTTGTGTTATGTATGGCGTCCTTGGTTACTATTACCGATTCCCAATCAAGTGGAAAACGTTCTCATTCACCTCTAACGGTTTCCTGCAAAATGGAAAACCGGCACAGGGTTGATACCGACTTGTAGATGTGACCACGATCAGTGTTGTGTTCCCTGAAGTATAAAGGGGGGGGGAGAGGGTAAAAAAGGACATATTTTACAGATAGAGATGACTGAAATGCATGAATTACGCTCGAGTTAACCGAGTTTGAGTTTGCGGCGTTGTAAAACGAGACTCAGTCATCGTTTAAGTGGTCAGGATGAATAATTCCAGATCTGTTTCCTTTTCCATAATGCAGGGTAGAAGAGCAGCTATATATACCAAGTTTACTTAGTTGCTAGATTGTTATTTTCATGTCAACATCCAGTATAGTTTTCAAAAGGCACTTGTGCTCTTTCACTGAAGTGGAGGAGAATGCTAAAATTAGCATATTGAAAAAAGACGTTTGTGCTTGATAACGACTAGAAATTAAATGTTTTGAAAATGTTCATGTTAGAAAGAGGATCTCTCAGTTTTTAGTGTTGATAGAATAGTATTTGCTCATAACCTTAATTTAAGTCACTATGGTAAATTTTGATAACCATAGTTGATTTTAGTCAATAAACTGATTTTTCTCGGTATTTATAGTTGTTTTGTTGTTGTTTTGTCAGAACTCTGATTATAGTATTGAGACTTCTGTAGTGTCCTAGCGAAATTCCTTTGCAATTGGCTAACTTCAAAAGGTCACAGCAACTAGCGAGAAGATGAGTTACTTTCAGTCTTCTTCGCAGCCATTCTCTGGACCTAGGAGACTGGGCGACTTATAACTCAGCCAATTAGTAATATTCAAGTGGGCAAAAAAGCTAGCGAGAGGGTAAGGGAGGGGGGGGGGCGATTTCAATGTTGGTCTTGCTATGTTTGTCAAATGTTCTGTTACTTGCTTTAGATAACGCTGCCACAAGTTTGACGCTTAAACTATAAACCTGCTGGGGGTGGGGGTGGAGCATTTTTTACCGTATCACCAAAAGTGACTCAAATGGGGTCGACAA